GCAAGTCCAAATTTTTCAACCATGGGGTACCTCAACTCTACATTACATAGAACATGACTGATGAAATAGACCGGGAGCTGGGTACCGCCTCTTTCAGCAAAGAGAACAGCATTGAGCGCATGATCAGAGACGGCTAGGTACATGTACAATACTTCCTTTGGAAAAGGACTAACCAGCCTTGGAAAAGATTGCAAGTGTTGTTTCAACTTTTGAAAAAGGCTGCCTCTGCATCCGCCCCCCATTCAAACATTGTCTTCTTTTTAATAGCTTCAAAGAAATAGAGGCACTTGTCGCCTGACCGAATGAGAAATCTCCTAAATGCCGCCCGGCAACCTGTCAACTTCTGAACTTCTTTTACAGTGTGGGGCGACTGCATGTCTATGACTGCCTGTATTTTTTTGGGTTAGCCTCTATCCCTCTTTGATCAATAAAAAATCCGAGAAACTTTCCAGACTCAACACCAAAAATACACTTCTTGGGATTGAGCATGACCTGGTGCCGCCTGAGTGTGGCGAATGTTTCTCGGAGGTCTGTAAGATGATTTTCCTGTAGTTTGGATTTGACTATCATGTCATCAATGTACGCCTCCACATTCCTTCCAATTTGATTAATGAAAACTGTATTGATCATTCGCAGGATGGTAGCAGGCGCATTCTTCAAACCAAACGGCATCACATTATAGCAGAATAACCCCTGATCAGTGACGAACCGTCTTCTCTTGATCTTTCATCCATAAGGGTATCTGATGAAAACCTAAATAGGCGTACATAAAGCTCATCAAGGCATGGCCGACAGTAGAGTCGACCAGACTGTCGATCTTTGGAAGGGGATAGCTATCCTTTGGACATGCCTTGTTCAGGTCCGTGTAATCTACACACATGCGCTAGGTACCATTCGGCTTTTTCACGAGCACAACATTGGCAACCCAATCAGGGAAGTAACATTGTCGAATGAACCCAGCATCTAAAAGCTTTTTCACCTCGGCGGCTGCCACCTGGCTTCTTTCTTCACTATGGTTCCACTTCTTTTGCCTTACTGGCTTCTTTTTAGGATCCACAACAAGTTTGTAAATGGCTAGATCCGGGATGATGCCTGGCATCTCGTGCACTTCAAAAGCAAAGATGTCTTTAAACTCTTTTAATAGGTTGTGCAGGTCTGCGCCCAATTTAGCAAAAGTCGTCGTCCCCACCTTAACAGTACGTTATAGACGAGTGTCATCCAGAACAATATCAATGTTCTCATCAGTCGGCTGGGGACGGAGTTCATCCGGTCGTTCTCTGGTCAGTTATTGCTATTGCTTTTCTATTTTCACGACCACCAACTGTCCGACCTTTCTTTTTTTGCCGCCTGCTATGGGAGCAGGCGCTGCTTCCTTGATTCTGTCAAGGTCTATAGTTTCTCCACTGGGGCCGGATGCGATCACAGTGGGTTTGACGTCGGAAAGATAGCACTCCTTAGCCGTCTTTTGGTCTCCTCATAAGGTGCCGACTATTCCATCATCCCTTTCAAACTTGAGAAGCATAAGGGAAGGAATGATAACAACTTTGGACTCATTTAGGGTGGGACGACCCAAAATCATGTTATAAGCGGTCAGCTCTTCAACAACTAAGAACTGGACCACCAAGTGGCGTCCCTCTCCCTTTTCTCCCAGCCGAATGAGTAAGTCTATTAGACCTACCGGATGCACAACTCCGCCCCCAAATCCCACTAAGGGATGAGAGACCTTGTTCATGCTCTTAGGCTTGTACTTGAGCTTAGTCAAGCACTTGTGGCTGATGAGATCAGAAGAACTACCAGTGTCTATGAGGATTCGGCCCACCTTTTGGTTGGCCACTTTGCATTCGATGACAATGGGGTCATCATGCGGCCTCCTAACATTGCCCCTGTCTCCCTCAGAGATGAAAACTTCAGGGAAAGTGTCTTTAGACGCCTGCCCCTCATCAACTAATTTGACATTTAGCAGCCTGATGTAATCTTTGGTTCCCCAAATGGTAGGGCTGCCTCCAGCATAACCGCCTGCTATTGTACAAATCTATTCTTCGTCAGTATCAGAACTATTAGCAGGTTGCGACTTTTTCTTAGACGACTGCCCAGGGTTAGTTTGCAGGGTAACCTTGGACCTCAGAATGTAAGATTTGAGCACCCCTTTGTCAGCCAGGCGGTCCAACAGTCGCCTGAGACTATAGCAGTCGTTGGTGTCATGGCCAACATCCTCATGAAAATGACAGTACTTGTTCTTGTTCCGATTTTTGGCGGAACCCTTCATAGAAGCCGACTTCCCAATGGTCACCCGGTCTTTGATCTCCATGAGGATGGAGTGACAATCCTTGATAAACTCATACTTGGGGGTGTATGTTTTAGATTCTTTCTTTTTCTTCTAGGACGGCTGTTCAGAGGTATCAGCCACCCAGACTTCTTTTCTTTTCTTATTTTCCTTCTTAGCCGGCTGTGCTGACCGACTCTCTTTTTTGTCAGACTTCTTGGAGTCCAACTGTTTACTGATGTTGCAAAGTTTGGTCGCCTGTATATAGGCGTCCGCCTCCATCAGTGCTTCTTGGAGGGTAGCAACCCTCTTTCTAACAAGGTCAAACTTAAAGGCCGACTTGTCCTTTAGACCTTTGAAAAAGTCTATATAGGCCACTTCATCAGACAGTCCTTGAATCTGAATTCTCATCAAATTAAACCGCATGATGTATGACCGAAGGCGTTGTTTCTCTCCCAAATGAATTGCACCTAAGTCAAGTCTTGTTTTCTTAGCAGGGATGTTCATTGAGAAGTTGGACGCAAACAAGTATGCAAGCATCTTGAAATTATTGATGTATTCGGCTGGTAGGTTGCCAAAACATTGTTGGGCGACACCTTTCAATGTGGCCGGGAAGCATGAGGTTGGTGTATGCCATAAGGTGATCTTCTGGATTGGTGGCACCATCATAGGTATTTACCAATACATTTTTCACCTTGGCTGGCTGTGCGGCCTCAGTTATTTCCTTGGAGAACGTAGAGGGTTGTGCCCCTAGTCTTAGCAATCGGAGTTTCCAGTCCAAGGGCTGGATATTATGTGCCGACTGGTTCACTAGGGCCCGCCTGTTCGTCATCCCGTTCCCTCCTTTCAATGGGACGGATGCGTCTAGTTCTTAGGGACCCGTCAGGGGTCGTGTGTTTATCGACTTTATAGTCGTCATTTGTATCCTGGTCAGTATAGACCTGGACGTCGGCCATAGGCCGTTTCTCATTAAGAGGCGGTACAGGTTCTTGTGAAGCCATCTTAGAAGTACTCTCCCCACAGACGGCGCTAAATGTTTCAGGGTTTTTTATGTGTCATGTGGGAGAGTTACAATACCAAGACTGGCCTCTGGACGCCAGTACTTGCAAAACAACGGAGACCCTTGTGGGTGGGAGTTCCGCCTCCGGCGATCAAGTTAGAACGTGTTCGGATGTAAAAAGTGCGGAATGTAAAGGGGGCATCAGGCTCCACTTAGGAGAGGAGTGATCATCCGGCTGTCTCAGACAGCCTCGAAATCCGAGCCTTAGCTCTCAAGAAGCGCAATTAAAACTGGAGTTAATGCTCAGCAATTAATGTACTCGTGTATTTAATAATTTCTGAATTGTCGTTTCCTAGGGGAGAACATATCCCTTTTATAGGGTCTTGAAATGCGTTCCCAGTACTAGGTTTCAGAAACCTAGGGCTGACTGGGCTTAACTAGGAATTTGGGCCGGTAAAGGCCAACTTCTAAGTTGGCAATCTGTCGCCACGTGTCGTGCCCTGATTGGTCCACCTTGGACCTCTCACAAGGTGACACATGGCAAACTCTGGTTGGTCCACGTGGATAACACGTGGAAGAGTTCAATTGGTCCACGTGGCGGGAAAAAAATTCCCAAAATCACTAGTGTCTCACCGGAAAAAATTTGTACAAACTCTTTCCACCAAAGTCTTCGAACTTTGGCGAACCTTGATTTAGCCTAATATATCCCCTCTTGGGTTCTTTAAAAAAAAAAAACTTCATAATTATTTATAGTAATTAGCTTAATAATCACCTAAACTAACAATGTCATGGTACTGGCAAAATTAGAAAAAGCCATACTAAATTTTGTCACAAACCAAAAAACAACCTTCCATGATGATATTGTAATTAACGTTAAAACTTCTAAAATGAGCTTAACAAAGCAGGATCATGACTATAATACAAGCTTAACAAATCAGCTGCTCTAAAAACCTACCCCCCTGGCTGTCCTACCCGTTCCTAATCCTCCTTAAACAACAGAGGGAATTCATCAAAATACACCGTCATGATGTCCTTGTTAATCTAGGCATAAAAGTCCTTGCCATATGTCAGATTTTTTTTACAAATCAAGTTAACCAGGTACAACAGCCGAAATCCGGAATCTTTACCTCCGTTGACCATTGGAGTACTTTACTTGCAACTAATTGAAGTTCAATACTCTTTTTGCAACTTTGGCCAAAGTTTAGTACTCTATTGTAGTATTAACTCCGTCTTTAAATATATTTTTATTATATTAATCTTTTATATTTCTTTATAATATATAATTGCAAATATTAATGGTTGAAGTTGTCAAAAAACAGTTGTATATTGACATAGTACCGGTCAAAGTATTGCTATTATTATGCAACGAAGGGAGTAACTTACTACTCACTCACTCGTAAGTCACACTTGAGTCGCAAGTCAAATTGTCAATGCATTGAGGTTTGCCGTTCGCGTAATAAGATTAAAGGGTCGTTTGGTTGGATTTTTTAGAATGGATTGGAATGGAGTTAGAATCCATTCTATCTAGTTTTTTGTTTGGTTGAGGTTTTTAGTAATGTAATCTCATACCCAAGGAATTCTAACTACCCCCATACCCATGGAATCTCATACTCACCCCTCCCTCTAAGATTTACAATCCATTATATTAATAAAAGATATAATCCATTCCAACAATAAAACCAAATAACTTTGAATTAGTATGGGTCTTAGAATCCATACCTCTCAGGTATGAGATTCTATACCAATCCATTCCAACTTGATGAACCAAACACCCCTAAGTGATTAACGACCCCAATATTTTTTAATTGAAAAAAAAATTCAAAATTGAAGAAATAAATAAACCCACAAATTTTCGTCAAACTAGCCGTTACCCCCAAGCGCTCCTCACCATCCTTCTACTGGTTTGTTCCTCCAACCAGCAATTCCACGAAACTTGTCAAATTCATTTTCTCTGAACTCAATTTCTGAAATTCCAAATGTTTGCTCAAGGTTTGGATCAAACTGCTATCAATTGGATTAAACAGGTACTCTTTCACTAGATTTTTGGGTGTTTTCTTTTAATTGCTTTGATTTTAATTCGTTTCATTAGATTTCCGTTTATAGAAATTTAAATGTCAAAATTTATCATAAATAATTGCTAATTTTTGTAGGAAAAAGGGTAACAAACGCTTAATTCAGTACCGAAATTCTAACAATTTCGTGTTTTTTTTTTGTTTTTTTTCTTCTTCTTTGTTGTTGTTGTTTTTTCCTTTTCGATTTTATTTTTTAGTTGATTTCAGAAATTTTGGATTTTTAATCGTAATTTGAAGGATACAAGAACCCAAATTTATTCAAAGAATGATTATAAAATATGAACCACTTAATTTACTGACGGTAGTGATTAAGGGTCGTCGGAAAACGCCGAAGAAAATTGCCCAGATGAATATAGTTGCATATTAATTCACCAAGAACACAACAAGAAATGATGGGAAATGAAAAAATTTAGAGTTAAATAAAATTAAATTCATGTTAAAGTAATTTAAAGTATAATCTGGGAATGAATTGGGAGTATAAAAAATTAATTAACTAATCTGTTAGAAGACCGAGGATTGCATGTGTTAAGATAATTTAGAGAGAGTAAGTGGAGAGTTCAGAAAGTGGAAAGGATGAAGATCAAGAAAATTAGCTAGGGAGAAAACTAGGGTTTTTTACTTTCTAAACAGAAAATTTCAAATTTGTTTCGATTGTTTATGAAGTAAATTAATGGTCTAATTTGGAATTTTAATCAGTTTTTGTGATTAGAAACTGAATATATCATTTATAAATGGCTAAATCTTGAATGTAATGGGAAGGTAGAAAATAGATAGAGATAACTCGATAAGTATAAAAAAGAGTTAAAGCTCGCTTTTGTTCACCTCGGTTTAGGATAAATAAGTTATGAGTTCAAATAATAAAAGTGATATAATAATTTCGAATAAGTTCCGATTAGGGTAAGGGAAGGGCTACTTAGTGGAGTATAAATTAGAACTAATAAAAATTCTAATTTGGTCTAATAGATTCAAATGAATTAGTCCGGATAAGTTCAGCTATACAGATAAGTGAGAATCAAATGAATGAACACACAAGGCTATGAGTACTTTAGTAGATGATTTGAATTTGTTTTGATTGTATTATGATGTATTCTGTGTTTTGGTAATATAATTTGATTTAATTTATAAATGTGGTTGGAATTATTACAGCCTCTGAATTTTGGCCTTAATTTTGAATTCCATGGGGAGATAAAAGGAAAAAAAGAAATTTGCTGAAATGTTTCAGTGGCAACAAATTTTTAACCAACTCTAGGGTGTTGGATGTATATCAATATTTTTTTTCCCATCAACTTGGTTCATTTAATTAGCCACTTGCATAATTTAGTCATGTTTGGGATTTTAGCATAATGCATGATTTTCTAAAATTACTGAGCAACCGAAACAACTGTAATTCAAATTACATTGCAAAATAGGCCATGCATGTGTGATTGCTGAAATTACCAACTAACTAAAACTAGCATCATTCAAATTATATTGTAGAAACTTACATATGTGGTGGTTATTTTTGTTGGAGTATTAATGAATGCTGCATATGTTGATATGATCAAATCTGTGATTTTTAAAAATACTAGGGCAAAGAGGATGTGATGGAGGCTGGACCTTCCTCAGTGGATAACTTTGAGTATGGAACAGTTTTTAAATCATCTCCACTTCTTCGCAGTGGAAGCAATTATATGTCACCCAAAACCTTACCTCCTTTAAAGTTCCATTCTGGTTTGCTTGGCAAACATAGTACGTCAACTTTTGATCTATGTGAATCCGACAAACATACTGTCAGTAATGACAGCGATGAAGAAAGTGTTGCTTCAGCCCCATATGATATGGATGGTTATTTTTCTGAGAATTTCGACCAAGACTTTTCCAGGTGCAACGATATCAAAGATTTTGAGAAGCCCATTCTTCATGACAATGATGAAGAAATCACTGATTTACAAGCTAGCACAAATTTGAGAAGCAAACAGCCAGTGGCTTTGATAAATAGAGGATCATCTAACGTTGATCTTAAAGTGGAGTTGCCAAAGGCTACCAAGAGATTCAGTGATATGGTGCTTAATAAACACGAGGAGCACTACATGACTCCAGATAGTTGTCATCATCCTCTCAATAATGTTTACCCTCTTAACGCACAGGTCAGATTGAACATTTTGCTTTAAGATGTACAGATGAAAATCTGAAGTTTTATGGAGCACTTGATGACGCAATTTTTGACATTTTTAGCCAATTTTCTCATTGTAGGATACTTTCTTTAATCGTAGTAAATATAATGATGTAGGAGACTTGGGTACCCCGAGTGCTCCTCCGGTCAATGCTGATGGAGAGGAGGAGGTACATGAGCCTAAAGATGAAAAGAAATACACGACTGTAATGGATGGTACAATGGATGGATTAACCAGCAATGGACTATACATGCCCGGAGTTGGAGATTGCTATGATGAGTCTAAGCCAATTATATCAGAAATAACATCAGAAACTTTGGAATACAATGATTTAATAGAAAAGTATGCTACACTATTGGTTCTTTGACTAATTGCCTTGTGCCTTATTTCTTCATGGAGCAATACTAATGTGGTTTATTGGTCATCTATCTAGTATGGTAAATAGATTTCTGTCTTTTATCTTTTCAGAATAAATCATGCAACCACTTCCGTGAAAGAAGAAATGCTCACACCCCACTTTATGCCAGAGATTATGAATCCACCTCCTTGTTATGATACTAGGTACCTTTTTTTTTTTTTTTTTGGTTAACCAATATTTATATCCAATTTTCCGTATTTTAGCTCGTATGTATTATCAATTGGTGATTGAGAAAGTAATTATTGTACTCGTATGTATAATGTATTATCAGTTGGTTATTGAGAAGTTCATTCTGCAGTTTGTATCTAACATTATAAGCAGCAAAGCGAAACTGTTTTCTGATATTTAATCATTTGTTATCTTGTCTGACATGCAAAATCCTACAGTGGCCAACATGCCTTCCAAACCCTTGTAGCATATGATGCCTGCATTCGACTATGCTTGCATGCATGGTCAAAAGGCTGCCCAGATGCACCCGAGTTTCTACGTGATGAATGCCTTATCCTTCGGACAGCTTTTGGGTATGCCACCTTTTGGATGTTTGAATTGTGAAGTGTAGAATAAGTGGTTGTCATGCTAAACTCTTTAATTTACGTGGGTAATTTTAGGCTGAACAAGATCCTGCTACATCCACTTGGTATGCAGACAGAAAAAGGTGGAGACTATAAGACTGCAGAAGAAACATGCTGTAGGAAGCCAAATAAAGTACTCCACAAGATTAGGGTGGAAGGTAGGTTCATGCTTCACTTACATTTATTTCTGTTGTGTGCTCTATTGAATGTCTGTACTTTGAAATAATAAGCTCCACCTCTGAAATTCTGCTATGAAATACTATGGAGTTGGAGTCTGCTTCTGTCTTCAGAATGTCCTAATTTCATTCTGAAAATTTTTGAATGGTCATGTGACTCTTATTATTGTGGCAGTGAAAAAGCTACGCATTATACCAAGAAAAAAACTTAAGAGCACGTTCTCGCAGCGAGGTGCGTTATACATGCAAACAGGAACAGAGTATGTGCGACATGTTTCGTCACTAGTGAAAACCAGCATCAACTCATTTATGAACTCGTCATTATCCCTTACACGTGAAGGTCTGTGGTGTAAATTACCAGTACAAATTTTTTTTTGACAATTGACAGCTTATTTTTCATGCATACATTTTAGATAAGATTAAAGTTGACAATTTGCTCTCAAAAAAAAAAAAAAAACATTGACATAATTATATTGCTTAGGAGACATTCACCCTGAACTTCGTACAAAATTCTTGAGACGATGATAAGTCCTTTTAATGTAGCTCAACTATTGATTCTAAAGGTGTGTCATTATGTATTAACATGTATATGTGAGAAGAAGAATATAAAGTGAAAATAAGATAGAGTGTTTGTATGAGGCCTGTAGTGCTTTACTACCTTAAGATATTTGTATGCAGAAAAAGAAATAGAATAAATAGGATGCATTAATTTGAAGTCTTAAGTAATGCCTTTCCTTACTTCTTCTACAGTTTAAGAATTTACTTGATTGAGGTTTGTCCGATTGAGTTAATTTGGGAGACACCTTAGGAATTATATAGAGCCGTTTGAAGACTTTTTATTATTTCCCGTCTTAAGTAATGCATTTCCTTACTTCTTCTACGGTTTAAGAATTTGCGTGATTGAGGTTTGTCCAATTAAGCTTAATTTGGGAGACACCTTGGGAATAATATAGAGCTGTTTGAAAATTTTCACTTCAGTAAGATCTTTTGCGAGGAATCGAAAACTCTTCTCTGAAGTATTTACACCATTACAGAGGGAGTTGCTGGTTCATTCTCTCAAAAAATCTACTAAAGTCACTGTAGGTTCCACAATCGTTTTGCTACTCTTTAAAGGTCTAAATGCAAATTTTGAATTTTATATAATGTGTGAAGAACATTGTTCACTTGAAGAGCATTTTACAATGACACATTAACATGTGCATAGTGGCAAAAGAACTAATTATGTGCAGAACCTAATTTGGGGGTCTCTTGTGAACATTCCATGCCATATTACACTTTAGGTGGGAGCCTTAGCCTTGTACCTTAACTGTGCTTTTAAGGAAAGAGTAAATATCATCTGTGGGCCTCTCATCTCTATTATGATTCATTTAAGTTGCATGCTTCTAAATCTGTGTTACTTCCATGTCAATGATGTCTTACCATGTTTTCAGAGCCTCTGTCATGCATATTCTTTCTAAAGAGCTCCACGGAAGATGCTCAAATTGATTCTGGCTCGGCAGTATGCTTACATTCAGGAATTGGCGAGTACCATGACTTGTAAGTTTGGTTATTTTATTTTGACCCCTTTTCAGGTTACATTGCTGTTTGTTGTAAAATTTATTGCGAAAAACTCTTAGCAATATAATTAAGCTGTAAACAGATTCAATGAAGTAATGAGTCATACTAAACTGATATACGAAGTATTACTATTAATTATAAATGTCACTAATATATGCACCTTCTAAATTTTCTTTCATAGTCCCATAATGGTTTGTTTTTAATTTTGTTTACCTGTATGTTGTCAATAAGTTGTATTACTAAAGTTTAGCATGGAAACATAATTAATCCAACTAGGCATATAATTAAGATATTATTCGAAAAGATGGTGAAAAACTTATGTGTTCCTGTATTTTCAGCTTTCCAGAAAGTCAAGGGGATGTTCTTCACGTTGAAGTTAGAGATACAAAACAAATGACCCTTGGTCATGCTTCCATTCCACTTTCAGTGCTAGCTGAGAACCCTGTATGTATCCTTTTCAAGATATACATTATTCATTTTACAGGATGCTCAATCTCCCCACATGTGGCATACTGACTTTTGTACATGTTCATATCAAGCAGAGTGACAAAGTTCGATGGTGGCCTATCTACCACGATGACCATGAGTGCATTGGAAAGATCCAACTTTTTATGGCTAGTTTAATTACAGATGAAGAAGGTAGACATACGAAGGTCTGGTTCCCTTACTTGCATCCTGATTAATATCATGTGTTTTAGATGGAGCTGTTCCTTTTCTATATGGAAGATGCACACATGGAAGATTTTTTTTTTCTTTCTTTCTTTCTGTTTTTACTATTACTAATTTACTAGTATCTGGTCACTGTGAAACTGTTATATTTTCCCATAGCTCTTCTCACATCCCTTGCACCTCTCTGAGAGTACTTCGTAACAAGAACTGAGGGGCTGATTATTCTGTTCATAGTGAACCGCAGAGAAAAATATGGTTCAGATCATTTTGGAACACATGTCTTAGGTATAATAAAATACCCCCTCCCCCCCCCCCCCCCGGCACTCAGGAAAAGAATTGTGTACTTTACCTTGCAAGCTAGCTAAACAGAATATCTCTGTTATAAATGTTCCAGATGAAGAATTCTAAACTCACCAGAAAATATAGGTTTAACAAAGGCAATGTTTACTCTTTGAAAGATACTCCATCCATGCTAATTCTTTTCATGATAGGGTTTGACACCAAAAATAAGGATAAATTATTGGTGCCTTGGTGGGAGAGAGGGGGGGGGTATTGGGGCTTGGCATTTGATAGTTGGAATACTCTTTTCGGTTAACGATGCATATCATAATAAGCTTTGACTTGACAAGATTATTAACGGTAGAATATACTCTTTATTAAAAACGATGCATATCATAATAAGCTTTGACTTGACACGATTATTAAAGGTAGAATATTGGTGGGGTATAAAATGTGGTAGATATTATGGAATATAAAATGTGCCTTGGTGGGAGAGGAGAGGGGGGGTGTATTGTGGCTTGGCATTTGATAGTTGGAATACTCTTTTCGGTTAACGATGCATATCATAATAAGCTTTGACTTGACACGATTATTAAAGGTAGAATATTGGTGGGGTTTAAAATGTGGTAGATATTATGGAATAAAAACATATATAATTAAACTTACAATTCAAATAGTTTCAGTTAATCCTACTGTTTATCCTAAGGCATTCAGCTGCATACTTTTATATTAGGTATACTAATGCATACTTGCGTACTTATCTTTCTCTGTTATTTACATGTTACAGAGTAGTGCTGTCGTTGAAACTCTTGCATATGATATGTTGCTGGAAGCTGCAATGCGTGCACAACACTTCCATTCACGCAATTTGTGTTTATGTGGTCCTTGGAAATGGTTGTTAAATGAGTTTGCAGACTATTATGGGGTACCAGATTCTTACACAAAGTTAAGGTACTAAACATAGGTGAAGCTTTTCAACTACTATGCTTCCATTTTACATATACCTCAATATGCTTCCATTTTACGTACCTCTTCTTATTATTAAATATATTTTACAAATATTGGTTTATTAATTTATAGTAATCAAAATTGTAGGAAGGTGTCCCGAGCTCTCATTCTAATTTTCCTATATTTACTATATAAGAATAATTCTGCAAATAAAAAATGTGAACCAACTTCCTATTCGTTCAAACCAACAGTTAAGAGAGAGATGAAACAATTAAAAGAAAGGGACAATAGGGCTTGAAAAGAGAAAGGAGAATATAAAGTAATAGGTTCCGAAGCTTGCAACTAAATGGTGACCTGAGTAAGATATATAGAGAGTAGTTTAGGGGGGAATGGACAGAAGCTGTCTACTGGTTATTACTTGTGGATTTTCCTTAATGGAAGCCAAGACTCGGATAGTGTGGGAATTGGTAAGAGACATATACACCAACTCCAAAGGTTTCACTGGAAGGTCATTTACTAAAATTTAGTCATGAATATAACAGATAAATGTAGGTATTCAATGATTCAGATCTCAATCTTGAGTTTTAAAGAATTTCCCTCTGCTTTAATTTGGAGGATGGAGCATGGACTCGATTACTGAGAGAAAAGAGGAATGAGTCAATAGGAAAGGTCGTAGAAGACGATACTTTTTTTTTTTTTTTTTTTTTATAATTTATATCCTTTCAGGTATCAATAGGTGCTAGATTTTAGATCACAATTGTTAATTGAATCATGTTATATTTAGGAACTTGCTCGGTTTTTACATATCCTTGTGAAAATTCCCTTTATGAAGTCTTTTATTAACTGTAATGTACTATTAGGTATCTTCTGTATGTTATGAAAGTGGCTACTCCAACAAAAGAATGCTTGGAGCTTGTACTGGAATTGCTTATGCCTGTTATAAAAGCTAGAGATGAAAAAAGATTAAATAGACAAGAGGTAAATTCCCTATGACAATCTTTATTTGGAATTTCGTTTCAAAAGAAGTATCTCTTATCTAAGAGATTAAGTGGTATGCTAATCAGATCTCAAGGATCACATTGCATCAGGTATTTCATGCATCATAGTTTGAGAATCACGTATACAGCACTTCAGGATAAGAATCCAAATTTTGTCTTGTCACCATCTTTCAATGTATTCTTATTGTTAGTCAGTAATTCCAAGCTAAGTCTCTTCTAAATGGATACAAGTTTTGCACCAAAATTTAAATGACATAGCTCCATTTTTTTATTGCATGATTTGCATCATCTAACACCAGAACATATTGGAAACACTTTACCCAACTTTTGATTTTGGCATCTTTGCTTCTTTTGACCTAATTTACCATTATGATGCCTACTTTTTTTATATGCTTGTAAAGAGCAATCTATATTATATCATGTAACTAGAATAATATTCTTGGGGCCAGGGCCTCAGTTCACCCACTAGAAATTTGTCACTTGTTAGAATATGTAAATTGCATTGTGGAGGTGTATTTTCCATTCTTATGGTTTGTTGGCCACTTGGCCTGCCCTTCATGCAGAAAACCATTTTCTTGGAATGCGAAACACAAGTTGAGACTCTCTTGGCAACTGTTTTTGAAAATTACAAGTCATTGGATGAACAATCAGCCACGGGTTTGACAGATTCACTAACTCCGGTACCGGAGACTGCGTCCATAGCTTTGGCTCCAGCAGTGCAAGTTTACTCCCTTCTTCATGATATTCTTTCCCAAGATGCACAGGCAGTCTTACAGAAGCATTTGCAGGTGATAGCAATAGTTTTTATAGCTAAATGCATTATCCTTTTATTATGTGGATTATATGGATGCACTTAGTAACTAGCACTGTTACTGAATTCTAAAATGTGATTATCCATGCATGTGCTCCAAACCTCCTTGTAATTAAAAGTTCTTTTATTTTACTGATAATCTCCATATAATTTCGTCTGAATGTTGCATATTGTTGCTATTCATTACTGAGGTAAATACTATACATTTCTTATTTGCCAAAAAAGCATCAGTACATGAGTACATCTCCTATTGTCAATGTTGAACAAATTTGGTTTGAAGCTATGCTTTTTTCATGCTTCAAGTCAGTCCAAAAGAACTTCTCCTCTTTATTAGCAGCAATTTGGTTTGAATCTATGGTGTTTCTCCTTTCTGACTCTATAATGCATTTTTTCATGCTTCAAGTCAGTCCTAAAGAACTTTCACCTCTTTAATTGCGGCAATGTAGTGTTTTCCCATGCTTCTTTCAAGGTTTTTTTTAAATTTCTTGTCATGCCATATCTTGCAACTGTTTTGAGGTAAAGGGAGTATCTTTGATGCTTGAACCACCAGAACATTTACATGATGTGACGATAAACCCTAAGAATTGAAGTTGGAGCAAGCACATTTTACTGTCTTTTTAGGTTAACATATGCTTTAAATATATGTAAGCAAATACACACAATTATTTAAAAATTTATTTAATAATTAAGATCTTATTGTGTTAGTGTGTTACACTGGATTTATATATACTTAAGTGTTGTATTCGGGAATCAACTTGGTATAAAAAGCATTCAGAACTTAAAACTTTAAAAGTGACAAAGACTTTATTAGATAAATCGAATACTCCATTGTATTTATTTTTTTAGATTACCCAACCTGATTAACTCTGAAACCAAACTGATTCCTAAAAAAAGTTGACTTTCTTCAAATAGTGAGATTATTTCTTGCCATCCCTCTTCAAGACTATTTAAATATATGTGTTAACTATTTGATATTGGAATCAAGAATCTGATTATGAAGCATGAGGCAAATATGTGGTTCTTACGATATTGCTTAATTGGCGTACTTGCGGTGGACATGTATAGGCATCTAGTTATGTATCAATGGCAGCCATTTATGTGAAAACTTTGGAGGCTTTTGATGAAATGTTGGGTTGGTGTCACTATCTCACAATCACCATGAAGGGAATTTGATGGAGTATATCTTTATTTTAAAGGAATACTTTCCGGTTTGGTAGTAGTATGTAACAGCAAGGCCATGGACAGAAGGCCAACTTTGTTTTTCAGTAGTTTTTAGAGCTAGTGTCTTGGCAAAATAACTAAATAAGTACCAACCGAAACTATTCTGATATCACTCTCTGCAAGAATAAAGAATAATTTGAGCTAGGCTGTTAAATAAGATTTGGCCATTTGGGTCATGTTATGGTGATGAGTCATTTAATTTGGTTTCAGAGTTAATCACCATGGGACAGATTTAGGTCTTTTGTCAATTAACTTATTATTGTTACTTAATATTAGACCCTCGTGACTTTTTTGCTTGGATCGATTTTGGTACAGCTTATTATTGGTTGATGTAAATTTGGATTCAAATCAGGGGTAATGTCGTCAGGGTCAGTTATGCTAGATGTAGATGTATAGTCCATAGAAGTATATGACAATCTCCTGTCATATGGAAGAATAAAGGCCATCTCTGTCTTTTCTCTTTGAATGTAAAATTTACTGAAGACCTAGAAACATTCTTACATTAGTTAAAAAAAAAGAAGCTAATGGCTGAATAATAATCTCTGACTCCTTGCTAAAATGTCAGACTGCAGCTCTGAAAAGGTGTCGAAGGCATATGTTAGAGGCAGATGAATTCATGTCAAGCAACTCTGAGAATATCCTGACAGACCCAATATCTATCTCCACAGCATATATGAAGATAAAGAACCTTTGCATCAACATAGGTAGAGAGATTTTAGCAGACATCAAGATCCACAATCAGCATATACTTCCCAGGTATTGTTTTCTATCTATGTACATCTCGATTACATGATACTCAGCCATGCTTTCTGCTATTCTTCTATAGTTCTATATATTTATAATAAGCAAATTATCAAGGCCTTTTAATTATGGAAATTGATATATAGCCGTAAGGGCTGCATATAAGGAGCTTTAAGTGGAAAATGATAAATGAAATATAAAATTCATTATACTGAAGTACGTGTGATGTTGTCTTGCATTCCTAAAATAATACCAAATTAGGAAAGATATTAAATTCTTATTTTCAGCCTTAAGGGCTGCATACATCATTACCCTTAAATTATACCAAGTATGTTAGTTGTGAAATCTGCTTTCCTTTTTTCTTTAGTCTTCTTTCAAGAAGGATCCTTCAATTGCCTGATACCTCTTTTGCTCATGTGATCAGTTCAATTGACCTTTCAAACATTACTGCTACCGTTTGTAGCACTGAATTGTCAAAGAGGCTTAAAGGGTTCCTTGCAGCATGTCTTCCATCAGGTCCTTTGCCACATGTGAATGAACTTCTGGCAGCAATTTCTGATTTTGAGAGGGATCTGGAAACATGGAAAGTAAGGTACATAAAAAGAGTTTTCAGTCCTGAAAAGCAATCTACATTAACTTATGAGGCCAAGTTACAATGTTGCCTGATTTCCTCTACTATAACTTGTCTAATTGAAATGTAATATTTACAGTCCTATTCAAGGTGGTGTAGACTGCAAGGATCTATTCCACAATTATATAATGGTGTGGATACAAGAGATGCAACTTGAAATGCTAGATCTATGCAAGGCAGAAAAGGTATGCTGCCTGTTGCGTGTTTATAATATTTAGAGTAATATCAAATTTTTGCTTACCATCCCTTATGGATATTGGAGCAGCATGCACCATTGTCTGGCATCTCCCTTCGGAATATATAATTAATTGGGGATGGGAAGCAGCTTCAAAGCAACTCGAATTAGTTTTGTCTTGAAATGCTGTAGCCTAGCAATTTAATTAATATGAATTTCAATTTACTTGCCTGTTGCAGACACCATGGTCTGGGATAACAACCAACCTCTCTACCTCACCATTCACAGAGGATATGTATTCAAAGATAAAGAATGCCTTAACACAGTATGAAATGGTTATCAGCCGGTGGCCTCAGTACTCGTTAGTTTTGGAAAGTGTAAGCTCAGTACACAAACTGTGAGATATGTATGCCAACAAAAAACAAAGACCTTTCATCAGATTATATGCATCTGTGAAACTTTGTTCTCGTTTCAGTAATTCTAACAAATTGCATTCTTGAAGGCTGTTGCTGATATCGAGAGAGCAATCTTAAAAGCACTGGAAAAGCAGTATAGTGATACTTTGGCTCCTTTAAAAGACAGCATTCCGAAGAAGCTTGGTATGCATGTTCAGAAACTGGCTAGACGACAGTCAGTAATAATCTATGTGGTCCCAAATCAAGTGAGTTAATATGCATATTTCTCTAGTGCATGCATTAGAATAGTGTTCCATAACAGTGCTCGTTCAACATCATTTTGACGTTTTATAATAGTTCAAATGCAGCAATGATGTGCACCTTACTAATATTAAGAATACTGCAAATGCTTGGTACTCTTCTAAAAAATTTAATGCTTGTATTAGTACTGCTTATGGATCCATAGCTGTGAGAACAATATAGAATTTGGAGGGTATTATTGTTTTTTAAATTTTTGGCTCTCATTCATTCCGAATCTTCATCAGAAATGTCTTTTGGTTAGGGATATATTGAATTTGATGTTGTATTAAACATTGAACTTCATGCTAACATTGCACCATTCAATTGAGAAGGTGACAATTTTTTGAGAGGGAATAAACATTCCATAGAAAAGAAATTCATATAGGAATCTGTCATGGAAAACTTTCTGATTTCCTGCTGTTTAAAAGTATTTCCTGTTTTCATGTTTTCTGCTATGGTTCAGTTTTGGATATACATGCAGCCAAATGTCCTGAGATAAATTGCAGATTATTAAGTGTTTGTCCATTTCAAAACATTGCAGCTGGGTACTTTTATAAACACTGTCAAGAGAATGGTTGAAGTTCTACATTCTCAAGTTGAGGATATATTAAAAACCTGGGCTTCATGTTTGCCCACAATTGGCGGTGAAAAGTTGTCCTATGGGGAGCAGATGAACGGTATAACTGTTTTGCTGAAGACAAAGTACAAAAACTACATGCAGGCTTTAGTGACCAAACTTTATAGCAATGTAAGTCCCTTTTTATGTCTTTATTCTCTCACTCGAATTTGTACTATAAAAGAACCATTCAGCAGAAGCCTCTGCATTGTTTATTTGGTGTCTTTCTGGGGTGTTTAGGGGAAGGGGGGGGGGGGTGTTGCTAGTTACGATTGCTTTCCTTTTACGACATATATTATACACTATTTGTTGAAGCAGAGAATTTTGTTCAATAAATGGTTGAAACTTTCTTTTAAAATATATTTATGAAACTATATCTCCTAGAATTTATTTGATTGCCAGATTGAGAAAATGTTGTATGTAGCTACTAAAGTTTGTTTGAGACGCGTTTGATTTATAGGAAAATATTTGGAATTGAATTTTATCTATGATAGTAACTTCGAAGTATATTTTGATGGAAATCATCTTTGTAGTTCTGTTTTTCCATTGGTTCCTTGCTAGTGGAAGATGAGATAAAGAAAGTTGCTAACTGCTTGCAAATAAGTGTCAAAAAAGCATTTTTTCAAAGAACATTATTATGTGGTTAGAGGAAAAGGAAGGGAATACACTGACAGAATTATTGCTGCAGATGCAAGCTAATCGAAACACACAGCTTAAGAGAATCCTGGAAGAAACAGCAGACTCGGACAGTGAGCCTGAGGTTCGTGAGAGAATGTTGATGCTGAACTCCCAACTGATTGATTCAATAGCCAATTTACATGACGTTTTCCCAAGTCAAATATTTGTGGCACTTTGTCGTGGATTTTGGGATAGAATGGGGCAGGTATGAAAGGGAAGAAAAATTCATTTTATCAAACTATGCCATAATCACTGGTGGTCTTATGTATATTTGCTCATATTTTCCTTCAGAGTGTATTAAGGTTCCTCGAGGGAAGGAAAGAGAACCGTGTCTGGTACAAAGGATCATATTATGCCCTTGGGGTAAGTAAATTATTTGCTTTACATTTGATGTTTTTTAGTGATGTTTGGTTGGATGTACGAGGAGACAACAACATATAAATCTAGTTGTAGAATGCCTGAGTTGGTGTTCTGTTTTTCAGATATTAGACGATGTATTTGCTTCCCAGATGCAACGATTGCAAGGAAACTTCCTACAGGAGAAAGATATAGAACCGCCCAGGTCGGTGGTGGAGGCTCGCTCCATGCTTTGTAGAGATGGAACAAACGGAACAAATCAATCAAATTATTTCTATATCTAGTATGCCACTGTGCCCCACACCCCCACCCCCCCCCCCCTACATTTTGTGTAATCAATTATCTGTCTATTCTTTTTAAATTCTGTTGTATTATGTATAGTCATGTATTTTTCCCTTTATTTTTTTATTCTTTGTGTACATAAAACGAGTCACATTATGATAGATAGTTCAATTGAAAATAACTACTACATTCATTTCAAAAAAAAAAAAAATGTCCTGGTGTTCGTGCTTAGATTGCCCTGACAAATTTGGGGTACTGGTTTGACAGTATTGCTTGATCATTATTTATTAGAGTATTTATACAAAACCTGAAACAATCTTCTTTAAAATACCATATCCATAAATAGATATATTCACTAAATTTATTATTCTCTTAAATTTATTATTCTCTTAAATATATCTTGACATAGATAATATTAAACTTATTATTCTCTTAAATATCAATGTATCCCACATATATTTTCCGATATGGATTATATTATATCTCATATCTCTAACACCTCCCTCAATTATATCGGCAGTAAATCAGTAATACAAATGTTACGATTGAAAATTCTTGTCTTGGTTGATCTTGAAATGCACTGCCCTATTGATGTCGCATTATTTATTTATTTATTTATTTATTTATTTATTTATTTATTTTTAAACGGTGAGAAAGTTCATCTTTTTGAACTCATCAATCACATCAGAACGTCATTCCTTTTAACTTACAAATATATCATTATAACAAGAAAGTTCATCTTTTTGAGCTCATCAATCAAATCATAACGTCATTCTTTTCAAATCTGCAAATATATCATTATAACATAAACACATTTTCAATTTGACTTCATCATATTTTTTTTAATATTAGTTTTTGAGAGCAAAACCAAACTCACAACCAAAGGAGTAAAATGATGCACATGGAAAACCATTTAATCTTGTCTTAAGGGCGAATCTAAGTTCAACTGGATCAATTAACCCCACTTATGTTTAAAAAATTATTTATTGTTACACATATTTAAAAGGAAAAACTATCAAAAATAAAATGACCTTTGGGAGGTCTTCCAAAAATAAAACGACCTTTTGATTATTCCATAATAAAACGACATTTGATATATATCTGCTCAAAATAGAATAAAAAACCGGCAACCTTTTTAAAAGGATAAACCGGACACGTGTCGTATTGAGATTGGTTAAGTTTTTTTTTTTTTTAGGAAAATTGATAAAAATAATACCAACTTTTTCCCATTCGCTCAAAATAATTCCAACTTTTAATTATTTTTTAATAAATCCGAACTTTTGGGGTCATTCGCTCAAAATGGTCTTAAGTGACCGGTTACCTATTAAAGATGTAATTTTTTTTAAGGTTTAATTGACACGTGTCAGCACTTTATAGGTTAAAAAATTAAAAATAAATAAATAAATAAAATCCCACACGCAACCCCACCGGCCACCACTACCATTTCGGCAACCCACCTTCCTAAATCCCAGCCAGGTTCCCCCGTCCTCACCCCTCATCGGAATCGTTGTAATTGGGTGTCGAATCTCTGTAATTGGTGGTGAATTAGATGTTGTGGGGCTGTTGGGTTGCCGCAGCTTTGATTGCACCATTGCGATGGCTGGTGGTTGTTGTTGGGGTTGTGCGACTGCTGCGATTTGAAGAGGGGTTGCGGGGTTGCTGTGTTGCTGCGCCAAGAGGTGAGATGGCTGATTTTTCATTGGCTAGGCGGCGATGGTGGTTGTTTGGTGGAGATGCGGACTGCGTTGCTGGGTGTAGGTAGGGGGTTTGGGGGTGTTTAATTTGGTGGTTCAGGGGTAAGGAAGGGGCGTCGCCGTCGCCGGTGCGGGGGAGTTGGTTCTGGGCGCTGGCGGGGATGGCGGTCACGGGAGGGGCTGTGACCGGCGGTGAGGAGGTGATCGTGGATGGGGCTGGGTTTTTTTTTATTTTTTTATTTTAAGTTTTTTTTTTATTTTGAGTTGGGATTATTTTTACCAAAGTTGGGATTATTTTTACCAAATTTTTTTTTTTTTAAATATTAACTTTTTTCTTTTTAAGAATATGATTTTAATTTTTTTTTAAAAAAAATAAAAATTTCCCTCCCCCTTCCCGTTCAGCCCTTCCACCTCCCTCCCTTCCGTTCACTCCTCCCCTACTAGAAATTGGTGGGGATTTTAGTGCTTTCGATGGAGAGTAGCTGGGATTTTTGGGTTTAGTAACCCCCCATCCCAGAATTCCGCTCAATGGAGGGTTTGGTTTTGTAGGGGAAGAGGGCTTGTTGAGGCACGTATCGGGTGGGGGAAAAGGAGCAATGTTAAGGTGGGGAAAAGGGAGAACGGCTGACAGGAGAGGAGTCTGGGTTGGTGGTTGTCGGGGGAAGGGGCTTTGGACGAGAAAGGGCGGTTGACGAGAGGAGGGTTGTTAACGGGGTGCTGTTGGGTGGTTATTTTTAATCAATTTTTTAAAATTGTAAAATGTAAAAATTAAAAAAATATATATCCAATCACATTGTGACACGTGTCACAATTAACCAATTCAATAGGTTACCAACCGGTCATGTTCTATTTTGAGAAGATGTATGTCAAAGGTCATTTTATTTTGGAATAATTAAAAGGTTGCTTTTTGTTTTTGAAAGATAGCCCAAAGGTTGTTCTATTTTTGACAATTTTTCCTATTTAAAACATGAAGAAATAATGATTCCATAACATTGAATTATTTAACATGAAAATTATGAGTTTTCTATCGATACATATAATTATATTTTCTCCGTTTTCTTTTAGATACAACACTTTCCATTAATGGAAATGTCATATTAAATGAGGAAATGCTTTTTGGTAACATTTTTATTTTCTCTTTGGTGAATTGTGAAAAAAAAAAAAAGAATTTATTATATTTAGTAATCATGAATAATTAATAATTATATTAACTTACTTATGACATTATTGATAAATTTTTAACTATAGTTAGGTTTTTTTTTTTAACATTTAAATTATTTTAGAAGTAATTTATAAAAAGAAAAATCACCCCCACCAGTCATCTACCTCTCCCTTGGCCCCTCACTCCTATTGAAGACTGTCGAAACCACCACCACTCCCACCGAAAACCACCACTACACCCATAGAAACCACCACACACACACACACTCTCTCTTCAATTCTGAAATTTTCTCCCACAATTTACCAAGAACACCCCAAGAACCTTAGTTTTCTTTTCTCTTTCTTCATTGATCCTCACATATCTTTGATTTCGTCCAACTCTCAACTCGTATTAACTATTTGCATCACAATATCATTAATCGATCATACTCTTGGGTGAGCATGGTTGGGTGTTTTAGTGGTGGTAGTTTAAGAAGTTTTATAGGAGTGGTGGAAGATTCCACGGTTTTTTGGTAGGGTGGTGGTGGTTTCGGGAAATTTCAGTGGGAGTGATGAGTATTTCAGTGGTTTTTAGTGAGAATGGAGGTGGTTTTGGTGGGCATAGTGGGGATTTGGTGGTTTTCGTTGGGGTGTTAGTGGTTTCCGATGGAGGTGGTGGTGTTGTAGGCGTCGATTGAAGCGCGCCTACTTAAGCATGTGTGAATATGCTTGGCAATCATAGGATGCGGGATTTGACATTATATAATAAGGGACAAATAAAATAGGGAGCCGCCAACAAGATTTTAAGGAACTTGTAAACAGTTCACGGATCATATTAAGGCAACCACGAATAAGGGACAACGATAGGCAACTACGATTGACCCGTGAAGGTTACACCCCATTCATAATCCATGAGATTACTAACTCCATATGATTCAGAACCACGAAAGAAGGATCGGGGATGGTGGTACAAAGTGAGTCATGGAAGTCACATTCACCCGTATTGGCCTCTACTCGATTCTTATAGTAAAAAGTATTTCCTACAATCTTAAAGGCATACAAACAAAGATTCAATTTGCTCCAAACTAAATTAGTCTAAATTGGTTGAATATTAATGCACACATAATTCTAAATATCAGTGATCACTTAATTAAGCAACAAGATTAAAAAGGAACCTAAATCGGTCGTCCAAATCATCTTATTAGTCGTGATTTTCATTTACATATTCCCTTTAAACATGCAATATGGTGATCAATAAATATAATAGAACAAACATTAATATTGGAAGCAATTTAACCATAATAAATCCAACAATTAATATATGACAAATATAATAAAAATCGTTAGATATATAATAAGAACAAAAGGAACATGGCTCTTACTTTGCTTGCTTTTGCTTGCTACTTTCATGCCTTGGCTAAAGTACGGAACTTCGGCAAAGTACGGACTCCGGGGAGTGCTTAAAGGATGAATTGTGGAATTTGGAAGGCAAGTGTTTAGGCGAGAGCATAAGAGAGAAAGAGTGTGTAAATTGGTGCCCCAAGACTATAAATGAGCCTCGTATTTATAGAGGAAATGCGAGGAATGAAGTCTACAAGCCTAGAAATGAGCGTCGTGGAAAGAAAAAGGTACCGTGTTACGGAGTGGGTGCCATGGTGCGGTACTTGTGAGGTGGCGCGATACTAAATCTTATCATTCAGAAGTCAAAACGTGTGAGAAAAGATCAAACTATGTGAAACAGGTATCGTGTCACGGCACTAAGTACCGTGGCACGGCATTTAGTATCGTGGCACAATACTCCTGCCGTAAAGCGACACTTCAGTTTTCTTGAAACTTCTTTAAAATTCATTTTTATCTTATTTTAAATAGAAACACGTGATAATTAAGGGTCATTTCTGTCATTACAGACTCGTTTTTAGGTTTAGGGTTTATGATTTTATAAATTGGACTCAATTATAAATAATAAAATGGATTAAAAATGGTTTGGGCTAAAATGAGATTTGGCCAGGTTTAAATAAATGCTTGGATTGAAATGAGGACTGATATGTAAATTGTATTGAACAATGATCTTAAACACTCCTGATATTAATTACTCAACCCGACCAATAATGGCGGTGAAGGGTTGTTCATCATCGGGGTTGGTTTTAGGGAGACATTTTTAGATGCTTACAAGAGTTTAAAGTGGGGTGGGTTTTTAGTTCACTTGAGTACATCCCACATTAACATTTAATCTTTCCTTTAATTAAAATAATTTGTTAATATAATTTGTTTAAAGTTATGTAATTATGGGGGGTTTTTTTTTAATGACAAATACTTATGATATTAATTGCATATTACTTCCTCTATTTTTTATTACTTGACCTATTGCAAATAGGCACACAGATTAAAAAATAGTAGACTAAAAAGCTAAAAGACCAAGCTACCCCTGCCCACTACCCCTATACACTAACTATTCCCCTCCACTGACTTTTCACTTTTCAATCTCACCACCACAGCCCCTTACTCCACCACCACATCCTCTCAGACCACTACCACAACCCATATGCCACAACCAAATTAAAGCACCACACGCCACCACCACAGCCACCGTACCCTCTTACTCTAGTACTTTACCACCATAGCCCCCTTACGTCACCACCATACCCACTTC